ATAGTATACGCTGAAGGTGGCCCATAAGTGAAGTTTTACTGTATTAGAGAAAAAAAATGTTCAAATAAAGCTAACCACAGAAGAAAATTTNAATTTTTAAGCAGTTTTTTTCTTAAAAAAATTTTTTATATGAGATTTTGTTGAGTTTAACAGTTTTAAAGTTGCAAGTTGCCTAGATTTTGTTACTTTGCTCCATTTTGAGAACGATAATATAATGGTGATGCAGGGACAAATATGCAAATAAGCTAAAACAAACTGCAGCTTAGGGCCTCGCATTATGAGTCTAAAGTTTAGGGCCCTTATAGCTGTAAGGAGGTGAGGGAAAGATACAAGTCTAATATATGAATGGTTTGGTGGAGAGAGGTGACCTGTTATATTATATCTTAGGGCATGTTATATGTTATAAGTGGACTTGTGGCCCTAATAAGGCCACAATTCTAAATCCAGCTCTGGGTAGATGTAACTAAAACATCTAGTAGGTATTAAGGCTAGAATTTAAACAAAATTTCATGAAATTCAGTATTCTATTTTGGAGTAGGACACTTTCCAATACGTTGCATTCGATACAAAAATACTTCATAACTATATAAAATAGGCAATTTTTCAGACTTTCGTGTTGATAATTTATATTATTTAAACTTAATTTCCACTTACTTTATTTCCAAATTTTGCCTTTTACGTTATATTTCAGCATATATTCAAGCGTATCTCGTCTACGTTCCTTCAGTAATTTACCTCTACTTCTACACATTTTTTATGTAGTTACATCAACGAATTTGTAAGTAAAATGATTAAATTTTGAGCATAAAACTTTAAAATATTCTTGATTTTTACAAAATAAATACATAAATAAATTTTCTAATATATAAACATCATTCAATCATCTCTAAATTCTATAGAAAGATTCCATTTTTCATAGGCTATATTCTTTCGACTTTAGGTGCGGGTTATATAAAGTAGAATAAACAAAAAGTAAAAATAGAATTGAAATTCTGAATATTTGATTTTTATTTGCAAATTTTATTTTATTTTATTTTTTTTTCCACTATTTTCTAAAGAGAAAAACCAAGGTGACTCGCAAATGGTTCGTTAACTTTTGCGTGTAGAAAAGGAACTAGAATGCATTTTCTCTCACAGGATAATGTATAAGAACAGGTGCGACGTTTCTCTCGCTACACAAGTAATCGTGACAAGATATTGAAGATCAAACGTGATTCCATCTCTTGTTTAACTGTTTCTATACGCCTTTCATCTTATTTTATACATAAAAATTTATATAATTAACCGTTATCTACATTAATATGTAACATATCTCGTCACTCCCTACATATAATCTACAGTTTCGTACGCGTTAATTAAATTTGAATACTGCAAAAATTTTGATTTTTCCCCCCTTTTTTTTGAAGATTATAAACCCATTTTCCTGTATAAATTTTTATTATATTGTAGAATTGTAATTTAAATTTGAAATTTAATTTTCTGGTTTATTGAATGTGTGTATAACTCCATTGAATGTATTTAATATTATGCAAAATTAAACAATCGTCTCATAACTTGTCATTTGAATAAATTGACAAGTGAAATGATTTCTGACGTGATTCACTCCTCTAAATTCATTAAATTCGTATAAATTTAATGTAAAGTGAGAAATGCAAACTTATACTTTAGTCCTTTAACCTTGTATACTTGCTGTTGAAGTCATTATTTCATCAATTTATATGAATATTTTGGTAATTTTTTAAATAGAATTTAATAAAACTATTAATATATTTAATGAGTTAAAACTATAAAATCGACGTTTTATGTAAATATTTTATACAAAATTCGTAAGTTTGTATGTCGGTAAATTTTGAAGTTAAACTCGCTTGATTATTAATGAATGCAATACGTCATCACCGACGATATTTATGATGTCACGAATGAGGGTTATGTTTTGATGACGTTGTGTAATTTATTTCTAGAAATTTCTGATAATATAATGCAGATGAGAGGATGATATACGTATATACAATTTTAAAAAAAAATTTACACGCCTAAAGTTTTATTTTCTAGTTTTCTACCAGTCTTGCGAACAGACAAACGAACGGGTAAAACGAATATAGATTACCATAAATTGTTAATATATATAAATCAAATTTTGATTCTAGAAAAGTAAGCCCAAAATTGAAACTCAACTTTTTCCTGAAAAAGAAATGAAAAAACAACTTTTGAGTTATCATTTACATTAGAAAGTAATAATAACCAAAAATCAGTAATTTCATTACAATTTCAATTTCAGTAATTGGATAACCACAATAAAAACAATTTTTCACAATTTAAAAAAAAAAAAAAATTTATGATTTATTAAGCTATTCAGATCATAGCAGATAGGGATGCCACCTGGCCAGCATTGGGCGAACTTCACGGGCAGTTTTAAATCAAGGCTGATGGTCAGCAAAAATATTTAAATATTGCAAAACAGTTTAAAATATAAACACAATTATATTTTAATTGAAAAAATATTTGAGATGAAAAGGAACACTTTACGCCAGATGACAAATAAATCACACTCTAAACCTATTGTCTTGTGTCTGAAACATACACACTGCATGAACATTTTCAAGCTCCTCTGGAGTTCTGCTTCAGACGAACCTTGCTGTTTTGTTGATGGAACACAATTCCAAAGTTAAAAATTCAAATGTCAACTAAATAATGAATCAAATCCGACGTCCTTTGAAAAGTGAACAAATTTAAAACAAATGGGATATGAAATAAATGGAACATTTGCATTTACATTATGAAAAAATAGAACAAAATGTCATGCACAAGAAGTCATGACAACAAAGGCATGCACTCAAGTGCCTTCCATTTGTTTTAAATTTGTTTGATTTTCAACAGATGTTGGATGTGATTTGTTATTTAGTTGAAATTCAAATTTTTAACTTTGGGATTGTGATCCATCAACAAACCAGTGAGATTCACCTGAAGCAGGACTCCGGAGGATCTTGAAAATGTTCGTGCAATGTATATGTTTTCAACGCCAGACAATAGGTTTATAGTGCAATTTATTTGAAAAAAATATTATATAAGATTATTTTTATTATTCAGCAAGCTTACTTATAATGATAAAATGACTTTCTCATTATAATTATGAAAGCTTTTGTTACAATTCATAGATTGTGCTGTAGTACTGTACATTATTAAATTTTCAAACATGATTTGCAGGATTTTAAGTAAAAATACTTGTTCACATTAAGTCAACTGCTGTTTTGAATTTTATAAACTGATTTTTCATGGTGAGACTAATCTAGACATTTGTCTGATTTTTCTTCTCCTCGAAAAAATACTCACACAATTGTACATCTAAGAAAACCTTGCTTCATGAATGAATTCAAAACTGGTTAACTGATGATGATGATGATGATATTTGTTCAGCTTGTTACATCATTTAATGTTAAATACAATGGATTCAAGCACTCTTGTAAGTACTTGAATCCATTGTATACCAAGTGCAAGAAGCATGAAAAAAAAAGTTTGTATTCTCATTTACCTTCCTCCCAGTTGTCATGTCAGCCGACAAAGTCAGTTTCCAACAGTGGCAACCCTAATGGTTGCCACTTTTGACTAAAATTATATTCTCAATATCATTTGCATGTTAGGTAAGTTATGTCTCAATTTCTCTGTGATTAAAACAATTTTTGACCATACAAATAATTCTGTTATGGTTAGATGGTTAACAAATAAAATTTGTATTTAACCATCTATCTCTAGTTGGAATATTAAAAAAGGATTTGAACTGACCCAGAATTGTTTGTATGGTCAAAAATTGTTTTAATCAAAGACTTGATCCTTGGAAATTTACGGTTCAATTTCTCTGTATTGCCTGAATTTCTTTGTCAGCTTACTTTGATTTGTACCACTCTTTGTTTCTTACTGATCAGTCTGACTTTCTGTATCCAGGTGAAATAGGACCAGAACAGCTCATGAGAAAGGTTGATCTTCAATATTAATGTAATGCCACATCCCAAATCTGGCTAAATGATGTTGATCAAATTTTGAAATTTTCATCTGTATCTTAGACAATGATGTTTTCTATCCTATCAGACAAGAATTTTAACGATTATAACATGACTTTTTTTTTCTCATTCAAACTATCTCATTTCCCCATTTTTTTCCCAAATTTTATCAGTTTTATGAACATCAGAGTAAGGTTCAATCTCCCAGTTCTGACATATGTTCAATTCTTGCTCAAGACTTACATCATTTATTTTATATCCTCATGACAGTTTCTGTTTAATGAATTCCTTTCTATAATAAACATTCTTAAGCTCATTTAGTGAGGGATTAAGATCCTGTTTGGACTCTCATAGCTACTATTATTAATTAAACTTTTAGTAATTTTGCCTAGAGATTGGCACACTCTCTTAATAAACTTTATAATTATAAATCAATTGATTTTTAATTTAGAAAATTCTGGAAGAAAAGAACTGGCCTGGAGTGGGACTTGAACCTGAAACTTCTGTTTACCATGAGGATGAGTTGCCAGTTACACTACCTGGACCTCCAGCCAATCTTCACCTCCAGTGTTATTAATTTAATAATTTAGATAAAACCAACCTGGTTACTCATGGCACCAATTGGAGATGACTTAAGCATCTATTAAATAGCCAGCTGAATGCTGAATATCATGGGGAAATAGCTCGTCTCCAGTTGGTACTGTGAGTAAACAAGATGGTTGTATCTAAATTATTAACACTTCTGGAGGTAAAGATCAGATGGAGGTTATTTCTATTATTTTCTAGCAAATTATTTTTGTTTAATACTTTTAGTTTATAAGTTAAAAATGTATAGCAATTTTATTATTAATTAAAATTGTTAAACAGTATTTAGTGAAGAATAAGAATAAAAAATAAAGTTTAATTGAGGATTAACATTTTTTTTAATTACATCTTATATTTAAAATATTAACAATTTTTTTATAAATAGATTTAACAAGAATTATTAACTATGATTGTTTTCAGATGTTTACAAGCAATGATAGATGGATGTGGACCAAGTTTCCAAATGTGGATTAATCAAGAATTACTTGATCTTTTATTTCAAGCGTTAAAACATACAAATCGATTTGTTCGAGAAACAGGATTTTATGTCTTAGGTTCTCTTGTTAGTTGTGGATCAGTGGAAAGTGGTAATGTTTCTTTTTTCTTCTTTAGAATTTTTTTTATTTCTAATGTAATAATAATATTTATTATCATAAGAGAAAGGAAAATGCACTTTATTATAAGAAAGTATGTAAATATATACACATGTATATCTAAATTACAATTAGTGTGTTTAATTATACTTTTAATAGTGCTTTTATTTATATAATATATTTGAGTTTATTTCTATTATTTTACAAATAAATTTATAGTATTGCATAATAAAACAGCCCAACTTTTTATCCCTTAGTTTAACTTTTTTATTTAAAAATTTCAGGAGATAATAAAATATACCATAATCCTTTTAAATCCACTCAATTTGGTCATCAAATTAGTCATGAAATAGGATTAGGACTTTCAGATAATTGGAGTCAGGTAAATGAATTTCCGAAAGATAAATAATTTAAAATTTTAAAATTTGATTTTATAAAAAAGTAATTAGTTTTAATTTATGTTTATTTGAAAATTTTAATTAATTAGAAAAATTTTGAATAATATATTTATTTTCTATTTAAATACTAAATGCTATGTAATTAGTTTAAAACAGGGGTGCCCAACTTTTTCGTTACGCTGGGCCGCATTGGAAGAAGTCATGGAGTTTTGGGCCACAAGTATATATAATATATACTTGTGGCCCAATATACAAGTATATTTAAGGATTAACATGTCTAGATTATAATAATAAGTATTAAAACTTTATCACGAAACAGGATATTTTAAAAAATTACTTCTACAGACACTTTCAATTTTTACTTAGAAATAGATAAATTCATTTATTTGATAAAACGCAATTATTTGGTTTATTTGAGTCTCTGATTAATAAAAAGCGACGAAACACCATTTTAAAGTGCATTTTTATCCAACTAATATATTTATAAATGATATGTAGCCCCAAAAGTAGCCAAAGCGCCAAATGATATTTTTTTACGTTAAACTAAAAAAAGTAGCCACATTTGGCGCAATGTAGCCAAATCTTGCAACGCTGGAAGGAANCTGTTATATTTTAAACATGAATAACTTTTTAGAAACACACCAAATTTATATAAATGTAAGATAAGTTCATATTTTATTTTGTGAGTTTTTATTTTTTTATACATTTGCTACATTTATGCTTAACTTTTTAATGAAAAAGTAATAGCTTGATCACTATAACTGGTCAGTGCACTAGTCTAAACAGATTATTTTAATCATAATTTAATGAAGTGGTTATCAACTCTGCCTATGAGCACAATGGTGTTTGCAATGCCATCTGAATATGCTTGCAGCAATTAATCCATTTATTTTACTACACAGCTACAATACAATATATATAATTAATTATACAGTAGACTGATTTTTTTTAATGTCAAATAGATGTGTATTAACATCGTAATGGCCTAAGCTTATGTGAAGTCACTTGTAAACTATGTGAATTTAAAATTAAAATTGAAGACACAGTCTGTTGAAGTAGTAGTTACTATTTATTCACTTTCACTGTGTCTTCAATTTTAATTTTAAACTTAATTATAGTGATTTTCTATTTAAATACTAAATGCTATGTAATTAGTTTAAAATATATATAAATTATGGAATCATTTAATTAAAATTATGTAATTGTTAGTAAATGAAGATTTCTACTAAAACATTTTCAAATTACTGTATTCATCTGGTTTATTATTACATATTATGATAAAATCTGCATATTGATATTGATAAGTAGAATTTATAAACACAAAATTCAGTGTTCAATTATAAAATAAACAACAAAAAATCACTAAAAACTTAATAGTGATTAAAAGTGAAGAGATTGAAAACATGTAGGTTTAGTTGCCAAATATCAGCTAAAATTAATAAAACTGAAAATTTGTATTAAAGAAGGTTGTTAATTTAAATTTTTTATTTTGATACTCTTGATTAGTCTACATATTTTGATACTTGAACTTAATTTGATTTTCTTTGCAGAACTGAGCTGGATTAATTGTTATATGGTATTTGTGTGGAGCTTGTGTCAGTTGTGCACAATGAGACTTAGATTAAGATGCTCAAGGCTTTTGATCTCCATTTGTACAAACTTTGTTGAGTTTATGTACTTTTCCATATATGAAACTTTTTAACTTTTTACTCCAAAGTAACTCATATGATAAGAGACAGGTGATAAGATGATAAGAGATAAATTTTGTAAATTTAATGCAAAGTTTGATGAATACTACTTTGAGAGTGAATTTCTATGTTAAGCTTTAAGGAGGATACACACATGCGGCGCGACAAGGAAAAGCAGCAGAATGACGTCACTTTTTCTCGCCGCAGAAGTTGATTTTGTGCTGCTTTTCTTGTGCCACAAAAGTTGATTGAATTCTATCTTTTGCAGTGACCGCTGCCAATATGCATTTCTATCAGCCAATAACAGTTTGTCTGGTAGTCACATGAGAAAATACAATCACGTGGTGTTTTAATGGCGGAAAGTTCAACACGGTTAACCAAGATAACTAACATCAGAATAAAGAGGAAAGGATAATAAATTTAACACAAATTCTACACAAATAATAATATATAATTTAATTTAAAGAACAAATCAACTGAATCTTACTCAAAATAGTATTCTATATCTAGAGACCTTAATCTAGGAATAAGCATATTTTGTACACCAATTCTTTCTTGATCCAAGAAAATATCTCTAATCCAAAATCTTCGACAAAATCTTCTAGCTAAATAAAGTGAGCCATACAAAACAAAACTTGTAAACATGTGGATAGCGGTAGTGTCAGTATCATTTGCCATCTTCAATACTAAATACATGCGCCAAAATGTAAGAGAATTGCCACTTGTGAGGTTATGCTGCCATGCAGCAAAGATGCGTTTGCAACACCGCTTTTCCTTGTTGCGCCACATGTGTGCATCCTCCTTTACTATATGCTAGAAATCTGTTTAATGAAAGAGATTTTTGGTATGAAGAACCTGAATAAAATGGAAGATTAAGATTCCACTTGTTGCAGGCAAATGCATAAAATTTACCTCTAGTATAACAGTCACTGCAGAGCATGACAAACAATTTCAAGAACAGTTTCAAATCTTTTTAGAGATAAAAAGGTCATGTGACAAAGAGACATACAGACACAAGGTCTTCATTAACATTAGTCCTTGGAATTACCCAGGGACAGAATAATTGAGAACTTTCAAGAATGGAATGAGTTTCCAAGAACAAGTTCAAGCAACAAATGTAATTTGTTAAAAACAATAAGAATAAAGTAACAGTACTGCCAATTTGTTTTGTATGGAATAGTATCAGTATTCAAGAAAAAATTGATTAGCATTGTTGATAATTACAGAAATTGAAGTAAATGATTAATTTGAGTATTAAAATTCCTTGAAAAGTCAAATTATAGAATAATTTGGTCTCTACATTACTATAATGCAATTAGAATTGGGATAGAGAATGAAACACGAGTTCTTGGTTCTTGAATTGGCTTGTTAGTTATCTTGTGAGCTCATAAGGATCAAATCTAAAATCTCTTAGTATTGAATACCTAGCATAAATTCTTGGGAATACATTCAAGAACTTTTAAGGATCAAATGATTGAAATCAGTTTTAAATTATTTTGGATTAAAATGTTTCTTACATATGTAATAAAAATGATTTTAATATAAAAATGAATGTAACTAAGACATTTTTGTAGTATAATTTAAAGATAGATAAAGAAAAAAAAAATACTAAAACCTGTTCTGTGCAGTGCAGTTCTGGTTTACACAGGTTTTACTGTATACAGGTTACATTATAATTATTTTATTAACATACATTTTGATACATAAAAAACAATAAATTTATGATACAAAAGTAAAAAAATTAATTCTTCAAATTAAAATCAGTTACAACTATAATTAATTAATTAATTTACCATTGGTGAACTGAATAAAGTAATACAGAAAACAAAAAGTAATTCAATTCCAGGAAATTATAATATTCCTACCAAATTTCTAAAAATGCTTTCAAATAAAGCCAGGTTAAAATTGTTAAATCTTTTTAACACCATGTACAAAGCTACCTCTTACCCAAATTCTTGGAATACAGTTATCCTTACCATGATCTATAAAAAAGGTGATCAGCTTTCCCCTAATAACTATAGGCCAATAGCTTTACTATCAACTTTAAGAAAATGCTTCACCTCAATACTAGCAAAAAAATTTCAACAATGGACTAAAGATACCAATCTGGAAGACAAATTTCAATATGCTTTTACTAAAAATAGGGGAACTGAATCAGCAATATTCATATTACTAATGATAATACAACTTTGTCTACTAAAAAACATAAAGTATATGCTGCTTTTATCAATATACAAAAAGCTTTTGATTCAATCTATATACCACTACTAGTAAATAATTTAAAAGCCTGTGGTGCAAGTACCCGATTCTCAACTATAAAAAAACTCTTCTCAAATCTATACTAATATTATAAAGAGGTAGTGTTTGTATGTATGTATGTAAAAGTTTCTTTGCAGCAGGTAATCTCCGAAACTACTCATCCAATTTCAAAAATTTTTTCACAATATTTAGAATGGAACCTCAGGGTGGACATAGGCTGTATATTATTCCGTTAAACATTCATATAAATTAAAAGATATAATCTAGGTTAAGGCTTTTATGTCCAACAGATGGCGCTACGAGTATGACCCCCTAAGTTTGCTTTTCTGCGAGGCATTACGCTTTTCTGTGAGGATGAACTAAAGCGGATCATCATCTATCTATTTATATAAATAAAAATGTAATGTTCGTTTGTTCCTACCTATTCCTTTGAAATTTTGACACAACGCTGCATTCGAATACACACGTGTTTTTATATAATATACGTGTCGAAATTCCCTCACTGAAGGAAGATGGTTAGGATTATAGCTTACCGTAAAGAACTCTGCTTCTATTTATACTATTTAAGATGCAATTTTTTGTGTTTTTGATTGCGTTTTAATAGGGTACGTCAACAGAATGTACACTAAGAAGGAATTTTTCGATATTCCCCCACGGGGGAGAGGGACAGAATTCAGGCTTACCGTGAAGAACTTGGCTTCTATTATATTATTTTAGATGCGGGTTTTTGCGTTTTTGATTGCGTTTTAATAAAGTACGTCGAGAGAATGTACACTAAGAAGAAATTTTTCGAAAAATTTCCTCCCCACAGTTATAAATGTATACACTTCCCATGTATACATTTATAATAGATACATTTTGAGCCACAACAATGCGTGGTGGGGTCTGCTAGTTATAATATAAAGATAAAACAAGGCAAGACTCTTTCTCCCTCACTAACTCTTACTCATGGTATTTTTCAAGGAGATCCCCTTTCACCATATTTATTTAACTTCTATCTGCTCGGCATTGATCAACTTTTCCATAATTCAACTGATGGCATTGAAATAAACAACAGAATCTTTCATTACATATTATTTGCAGATGACTTAGTAATACTAGCACCCACCAAAATCTCATTACAAAGAAAAATTAACCAGCTAAATCTTTATTTTAAATTAATTCACTTAGTAATAAATCTGGCTAAAACCAACATCATTATTTTTTGCAATAATAGCAAAATATCTGAAAAAGAAACTAAAATATACTGTGATAATATTCTACTACAAACAGTTAATGAAGTAAACTAACTGGGTGTCGTCTTTGATTGGAATGTGACCTTCAAAGCTCAAATCTCAAGAATCAACATCAAAGTAAAGCAGGCTATTGACAACCTTCTATTTCTATGCTCAACCCTAAAAACCTCTAATTTGAATATCCATATGAAACTGTACAATTCTATAATCAACCCTATTATTTACTATGCAAGCCCTTTCTGGAGTCTGGATTATTTATATAAACTCGAGTCTTTTCATATCTATTTCCTACGTAAATTATTCCATCTAGAAAGAACAATTCCCGGTTATGCTCTCCAACATGAAACAAATCGTATCTGGTCATTTCCCCTGCTATTAAAATGTATAATTAAATTTTATTATAGCCTCAAATTCAAAAGTGACAATAATATAACTTTCCTACATTAAGAAATAATCAAGCAGAGCAAAAACGTAAATGTAAATTATAAGCAGTTATGGTAATACAAATTATGTAAAATTTTGAACACATTTGGCATATCAGAACTATTATTTAAAGATAACATTCAGGATTGGAAATACGGTCATACTCTTCTATTAAACTCTGCCATATCTCATTCTATAAATAAAGGTCAGCTCTCTTTAAACTTATAGTAATTATTGTCCCTGGTACATCAACTTATTTGAAATTCCATCTTCTCAGCCATACATGTGGCAACCAATTGATTTGAATGTGAAATGACTAATAATCCAGCTACGCCTTAACAAATATTCTCTCTTTGTTAAGAATACCTACATAAACTTTTCAAATACCCATTGCTGCTTATGTCAATCCGAAGATTTCTCAGCATTCCACCTTCTGAAAAACTGTCAAGAACTTACAACTTTGCGTGCATAATATGAAATCATACAAATATGTAACTGTAGATCACCTCTTGAACTCAAAATAAATTTAAACTTTCTCAATAAAAAGGATCTATATAAAATTTATAATTATTTTGTTAAAATCACAGAAAAGTTTTAAAAAAAATTAAATGTTAATATTAATAAATAAAAATCATTATAAAACTTAAATATCCTATTATGGTATTTTTTACTTATTCTGTTCATGTCTATAAGCTATAAGGCAAAATGACTGTATGGTTCTGTTAAATTATGATTGTTTTATCATCAATATAATACTTTTGTAAACTAAAATTGTTAATTAATTTCATTTTTATGTATCACCCCCTGTAACAGGGAAATATTTCCCTTTTGCTAATAAATTGATTATGATTATGATAATTAAGTAATTAATCAATATAAACTAACTTCAATTAGTCAAAAAGTTATAAATGAAAATCTAAATATAATTGCATATATCTCTAATAGAAAATCTCTAACTAAAGTGCATATTTTATTGTTCTTGACACAAAGATATGTGGAACAACTTGGACATGCAGAAAGAAATAAAGTTAGAGTGAAAATGTTTATTATAGTCTTGTTTATATTATTGTATATTTCATTGATAAACAGAAATAATTTATAGTATATATTTGTTTAATTGTATAAATAAAAATAAATTACTTGTAGCTGAAATTAAATTAAATTTATATGAATTCTAATTATTACTATATAAAATATATATTTATTTGCATATTTATTTTAAAGGTACGATTAGCTTCATCTGAAGCTGCAAGAAAATTCCTTCTTTCCTTTAATAATGAAGAAGAAAGAGAGGTGTTTTATCCTGTATTATTACCAAGAATGTGTCTAAATAGGTAATTTTATTTGAAATCTTAAATAATTATAAAATATTTAATTTTAGAAATTTAATTGAATACAATGCAATCTCTCTAATCCAAACCTACATTCAGTTTGCAATTCTATTTTTTAAAAGTCATCTGAGTTTGTAAAAATAATATATACTATACAGTTTAAAATAAGTTTGGGAGGGGCCTTGTTAGATTAAAGGCCCACTAAATTTGGACTATTATTTTGATCCAAACTTGGTGGACCATAATAAAACCCCTTATGGTCCTCTAAGGATAAACTTTTCAGTGTATTTATTTAAATTATACTTATTTATCAATGTATTTAAATTATAATTAACTTAATTATATATGTACAGTATATAATTAAATGATAATTTATATTATTTTTCTTTGCATTTATATTAAAATTAAATGTAAATGCTTGACAAAAAAAGCATGTTTTATTAACTATGTTTAATTATGCATATTTATGACATTTAAAGACAGTTTTTAAAATATGATTTTAATATTACTACTGCCTCAAATAATTCGTATTATTTTTTTAGAACATGTATTAGTTTGACTAAAATAGATGCTGATAAAATAACTGCTATATATTTTTGATTAAATTTATATTTTACATGTATAGTTTAAGTTTATTACATAATATGAACTGAAAATTGTATGAATTACAATGTTATTTTTTTTAATAGATACTATGTAGCAGATGGTGTCAGAATATATTCTCAAGAAACATGGAGAAGAATTGCAAAAACTGAAGGAAGAGAATTAGTACAAAAATACATAAATCCTGTTGTAAGTTTACATTATAATAAAAACAAAAAATTCTTATCTGCAATATTTTATCATAAATATTATAATATTTTCATTTTGAAATAAACTATTTTTGCTTTAGGTTTGATTTACAATTACATTACAATCAAAAAAATTATTATTTTTAATATAGTCTTGATATATTACTATTATTTGAAAAAGGCTGCAAAACTTAGTATCATTCTGAACTATATAAAACATTAAATAAAAGGTAATTAGTTGAAGATACCAAATTAAAGTTAATTATAAGAAATATTTTTTATCAAAGCCTGCTTCACTTAATCTATTAACAGTAAACAAATCAATTATAAAATTTACAAAAAAAATTACATAGAATTTTGAAACATAATTTGTTTTTATAGGCAAAAAAATATATTTTTTAGTTTATATAATAGACTCACAAAAACCTTTAAGTGACCAGTAAAATATTTAATTGAAAAAACAACAAACATTTTTTACCATATTTTTAGTTTATAAAAATTTTAAAAAATTAAAGCATACAAATTTAGAAAACATTAAATGTACTACAGTGATGGCTCATAGGACTTTCTTATGGGAGAGCAAGGACTCTGATTTTATAATCAGAAAGACTTTAATTTAACAGCATACAATTAATATTTCACATTATTAATTTTTAAGCACTTCATTACAAATCATTGAACATTTGATAAAAACTATTCATAATAATATGCAAAAGTTTTTGTTTTACTTTAATAAAACAAATTATAAAAATGTAATTCAATTAATTATTACTAAAATTAAAACATGTTTATATACTTAAATTTAAAAAAATTAAGTTTAAAATGATATCAGTTTGTCAAAATTTGAAATGTTATAAAATATATACAGATATATAGGGACCACTTTGAAATGTTCTCTGGGCTATGCTAAATTCAGCCTAATAAGTGATTTATTGTGTATCTCTCCCATCCTTCATTCTAATTATATAGATATCACCACACAATGTCTGGAAACTGCCATCTTACTTTTCTATTTAATGCTGAGAATTTGTCACACATAAGTACATTCTTCAAAAGAATAAATTATATCTTCTAATCAAAAACTTTTTTATTCAGGAATTTAGTTAAGTTTATCCAAAATTTCTAGAGGGCTCCACTTTGCAGCCCTACCTGGTGCCTCCTAATATATTACTAATAAACAATTCTTCAAAATCTTTTCAATTCATATAAAAGGAATAAATAAATAAAATTATACTTTAAACTTTGAAATCAAATATAAAAATTACCAGATATAATATTCAAACACTATTAACATCATTTCATTAATAAAAATGTAATGACAATTAATTAATTATTACATTTTTATTATTATATAAACCTGCTAATTATATATACATTTACATAGATCAGGTGTGTACTGTACATATGTACGTCACGTCACAATGAGGAAAACCATTTTGCACTCGACAGTACATAATTAACAAGAACTTCTGAAAATAGTATTTAATTAGGTTATTTCAAACAGCATTTATAATACATTTTAAAACATTTTTAATTTAGAGTATTAATTGATTATTAAAACTGATGTTCTTATTGATATCATATATGAATAAAGTTCCACTATTATAATTTTAGTTCTGGTAATGCAATTCTGCTCTGGTAAAGACAATCTGAATCAGTTTTTAATAATTTAAAGTTGGCATCTATATACTTAAACTAATAAAATTAGTTTAGTTATGTAAATATCAGCTTTACTATATAAAATTACTATAAAATAATTTTTTCATTATATCATATATATTGCTGTTAGATAATATTGTGAGAAGCCGGGGGGTTGATTAATATTAGTTTAAACCACCTTGGATCTGCATCGACCTGGTAAAGACCACTCAATTGTCACTGGAAGGTGTAATCTATGAATTGTTGTCAGGATTGCAAGATCCTTTCGACGTCAATCCGATAAATTCAGCAGATTTTATGGGCTACTAGGAGGCATTTTGAATTTCAAGTGGGGAGCACAATGGGTAAGTCAATAGGGTGTCTTTATGTGCCGAAATAAGTTCACATGGGATCAAGTTAACAACAAAATAGCAATTTAAGTTAATGAGCTAACTACAAGCATACAATAAACATACACCAAAATGTGGACAAGCATAGGTTACATAATGTTTGGTACTATGATTAAGGCTAAGACTAAATTAATGATCAGTTATACTAAATCTAAGTTTGGTCCCAAACGATAACAGGGGACCCTATATAAGTCCATACTGATTGAGAGAGAGTGTATACACCTTAATTGAATGTCTGATGAGCTGATGTCTTTGAGTTGAATCAAAGTAAAGTTGGTATCTAGTGCAGAGTCTTCTATGTGCACAGAGGGTGGCAAACTGGCCACTCAGAAATTGTTCAGTTAGTATATGGTGAGACAGAAGTAGTTTATGTCCATTGTTTCTGAACTTGTCCGCCTTCAATATGGCAGGATGAGCTGTAATTCATGGCCTCTAGAGATGTCCGCCCCAAATGTTGGGTGTGTTATTGTTATGTGTATTTAGTGTGGGAATCTGATCACCATGTTCCACCAGATGACCGTTTGTTCGGTAGTAATGACACATCAAAGGTGTCATAGCTGGCTGATGAAAACTAAATGAAGGTTTCATATTTCCTTTGATTGTTTTTAGATTTCCTCCTTATACCAAGTTAAGTGTTAACTTTCTCACATATTTGCAATAATTTTGTGGGTTGATGTGAAGGAGGACTTTGTCACTTCGATGACCTTAGTGGCATGAATTCTTTAGTTATTTGCTGACAATTAAGTTAACATCCAATAGTTTCCACTATTTTACTCTATGGGAACTGATAGGGGAAAGTAGGGTTTCTAAAATGCATTTTCTTTAAAAATTTAAAAAAAAAAAAAAAAACAGTCCTTGGATTCTCACAATAGTAATTTTTATTACATTTTTAAATGAAAGAGTGTAAGCATTATGCTTACATTTAAAGATATATCAAAAACACACTTCTGTTTGGCTGAGTCATAAGTAATTCATTTTTTCTAAACATTGTTATAGCATAACTTGCAAAATATACCACTCAGCTTAAGATTGTTAATCATGTAATAATTTTCATGATTTTTGTTTCTTTTTTTTAATAGTTACGTTATTAATGTTAATCAAAATGACCTTATTAAAAGAAAATTCAAAGCATGTAATTTTATATGATCTTGAAAAGGTAACACTGCATGGCAACAAACAATTTTTTTACATTTTTCTAGAATGAAAGTTCTGTTTTGACAGTATTTTCTGATTTAAAATAAATTGTTAGATATATCATAGAATGGTAAAGCTATTTTATATGAAATAAGTTTTATTAATTTTGTTTTCAGTTTTTCTCTTAATTTAAAAGAAATTGTTAAACACAGAAAAAAAAGGGGAAAAAATATATATATATGCCGAAATTGTTTTTCATGCGGAAAAATTCGCATTTTCTGCATCCTTTAACTCTCGAAATTCTCTTAACAACGCTTTCTTTTATAGCCTACATCTTTATACGAGAATATCCCTTTTTTATTGATAAATATACTCAAATTTAACTTTAAAAAAACAGTTGTTTAGATTATATATTAATTGATTTCTAACCTTAATTTATTTATATCCATAAAAATCTATACAGTTTTTTTTTTNTAATAAATAATAATAATAATGGTTTTTAGTTGTCTGAGATACGGAATAACATCTTTTATAATTAATCACCTGCTTCCTTATAGGACAGCATTTATAGGAAGCAATCACTATTTACGATTACACATTCGCAATAAAACATCATTTTGAAATTATCACTGTTAATAATGATGAAAGTACGTAATGGCATTGTTTACGTATACTTTTTTTTTACAATTTATAGATCTAACTACGTTTATTTTGATACTAATATTGTCTGAATTGTCAATAAGGATACAAAATTGGATGTGATAAAGTAATGTTAATTTGGTAGTTATACAGTAATAATGCATAATATTTTGAGAAGTTGACGTGACACTAAATCATCAATTTTATAACCATTCAAATCATGTATTATACAGTATATAAACCACTAGTGGCTTGTATACTGTACATGAATGTTTTAACTTTGTATTTATGTTGATATATTGTTCAATCAGCATACAATAAATTGATATATTGGTATTAAATTTTACTAAAATATAAATGTACATTTTTAAATCTTTATTTTTATATGTGTTTTAGCTGATGTGTATCACTGAGTCAATGCATTTGTAAAAATTAGATATGAATAAATGTTGTTAAAGTATAAAGTGTTTTCTCGTTGTGTATGCTTTCAAAATTTTCAATACACTTTTTTATTCAAATATACTCATAAAACAAACATATAATAATATTACAGGTATATAATGCAATCATCTCATCTCAACTTTCAGACAAATCACTTTTTTATACATGGTACTTTGATACCTCTAAATTAACTTTTGTATGTAAATTTACACTTGTGTAACATTTTTACCCGAAAAAGTTTCAAGCTATCATAGGATGGCATTTTCTGCTAGTTTTAGATCAGGTAACAGCAAATTCATTTATAAAAATTAATTTTTATTGTTTGCTTTCAATTTAATCTATAGTTTTCAATATTTTAAAATTTATTTTAATGTATTTACAGTGATAAAGTAAAACTTTTCAACTTTAATAAGAGATTTTTTTTTATCTGTTAAAGAACAGAACACTATAAATAGCATGCAATCATCTCATTGTTAGAATGCAAAATGCAATTTGCAAATATTACATATCGGGAGAAAAAGACATAGCAAAGATGGAATTGTTTGAAATGTTTCTAAATAAATATCAGAAGATACTGGACAGTACATATGTTACAGAAAAATTTGGTATATTTTTATCTGCAGAAAAAATAATGAAATTCATAAAGTAAAAAATATTATCGATCTTTTAATAGTTGGTAGATATAATAGACATATTAGAGTATTTACATACCAAACATCATAGAGGCATTTGCATAAATTACAAAGTTACAGTATTTTAAACAAGGTAAGAGTTGAACAAAAGTATGGAATCATGAAAAATATTAAATGAAATTTTTTAAACTTCACAAATTAGATGAAAGAGCTTTGATTTAATAAAATAATTCAATAAAAAATAATAAAAATAAAAAATTCAATAAAAAAAGAAAAAAGTATACTAAGATAAAATAATAAGTATCTGCAATTCAATGATCTTAAACAAATCATCAAATCTAAAATTTACTCTTAAATGATAGTTAAGCAAAATAAATGTACCTGATAGTGATGGCAAACACCTTTGAAACGAATACTATTGAAATAAACTTTATTTATTCATACTTGTCTGATTATAAATTCTATGCTGTCAGATAAGTGTAGATTTAATCTTAATGTGATATTGCAAATGAAAACAAAAAAAGATGTTATCCATACAAAATATAAAAGATGGAACCAGGAATTTTGTCAGATTTAACAATATTATTTAATAATTAATAACAAAAATTAGAAATGTCATTCTCCTATTTTTACATAATTCTGTGAAACAAGATTTTTAAAAAATAAAATTTTATGTAAAATTGTTATCTGAGTATACTGCTATCTTAGGCAATTAAAAAATCACTAGTATAATTTGAAAGATTGTTCTAATTAGATCATCAGTATGATTGTCAATATTGTTAAGAAGCAAACACTAGAATAATAATAATAAAGTTAACTTTATTCATTTATTTTTATTGAAATGAATTTTTTGAGCAAAGCTCTGCATAAATCAGAAAGTGTTTTGTCTGTGATCGAAGTTTAAAGCAACTGCACAACCACTAAACATGATTTTTTGCAAATAGATACAACTTGGCAAGGCCAATGTCATGACAAAGCCAGAATTTCAAAATTCCATCTATGGGCTGAGATTGAGATGTTCAAGATCAAATTTTGCCTTGTAAAATTTATTGGCCAATTTTCAGTTGGAAGCTGGTCACAAGCTACATGTCAATCAAGTTTCTGATTGCTTTCAGTTTACATTGATCTCTACAACAATTTTTTTATTTTGATCTTTACAATGAGCATTTAACATGCACAGCCTGTGGCTGCACATGTGCATGTTTTAACCAGTTGCTGGAGTTGGTAGGCCACTGGCAAATATATGGGTGTCTTAAACATTTCTTGACATTTTTCTCGGTTATGACAATGACATACATATACTTCCCTGAACCTGCTGGTTTTAAACAGCTTTAGACAGAACATTAGAAGCATGTCACCACATTTATGTTTTTGTGTTAAGCTGAAACAGAAAAACCTATGCCATGGAGCTCGGTTTTGTTTTCCTAAAAAAGATATCTAGTTATAAATAATTTTGGCTGTACTTTATTTGAATGTTATAAATTTTTTTGTTTCTTGCCATTTAAATAATTTTTTATTTTGTTGTTATGATGTGATCATTCTATATATTGTATTTAATGTACACATATTAAAATTTAATGTTAATGAATTTTTGTCATCTACAGGTCGAGTATTATGTTTCTCAAACTAAAGCAAATAATCATGCTGTTAGAGAAGCTGCTTGTGCATGCATTGCAGAATTAGCTTCAAAGGTAAATTCAAAATTATTTAAATAATTAACTTTAATTTTGATAATAATTATGTATATGTTTTATATTCTACAGATAAAGCAAGATTCTGTAAGACCTCATGTTCCCCGTTTACTCAGTACTTTGTTGGAATGTTTCCAGGATGAGAGTTGGCCTGTAAGAGATGGTAAGTTTTAATATAAGAAGAATAAACTGGAATTAATAATTGGACTTTGGTGTCTATAATATGTTGAAACTATGAAAAATCCATATATTTTTAACAAAGTTCAAATAAAATATTTTTGTCTACTTTAGTTACATTTAATTAGACTCATATATCAAAATTTCATATATTTAGTAAAAACAATTACAAGTATATCTCAGGTTAAGTCGTTGTTGATTATATGTTGTTTGTCAAAAAAAAATATATATGGAAAAATAAAAATCAAGTTTAAGTCATTTTATTTGACTTTACATCTGTCCACAAATATTTAAGTCATAATATCACTAGAAAAGTATTAAAAGTACATAAAATCATATTAAAATACATATATTTACAGTAAATGTTAATATAATCATCATAAATTGTAGAGAACAAAATATGAAAACATCTGTGACTGTGTTGCCTTCTTATTTAGCGGTCTTTAAGAGGTCTTTAAGATATTGGTAGTTCCAATATCTGCTGTTTGGTATTGTAGTCAGCGCCACTCGATATTGGTAAATTTAACACAAATTAATTTATTTTCTACTATTGCAAAATAATTTTAATAACTGTATTTGTTATTTAACCTTACAAAATCATTTTATTTTATAATGTCTTAGAGCAAACCACATTCACAAATAGAGTCCGCGATGTACTATAAACATCGCCAAATTGTAAACATGTATTTACAAGTATGTACATACATGTATTTGTAAATTTAGATTACTGTTTTTTTGTACTATATTAAAAACTAAAATTTATTTGTAAGCTTAAAATAGATTCTTATTAATCATATATTATTGAAAATGCATTTATAAATAAAATACAGAACTGGGAATGGTTTAGCCTAATGACAAGTAAATTCAACTTAAGTCACCTCTCCTGGAACAAATTACTGACGTAAGGCAAGGTATACCTGTAACTAATTAAAATTCATATCCTCTTTAATTATAATTACCAAATTATTATTCTTTGTGACAATAATTTTCATGATGTTTCAAATGTGCACAAAATGAACCATTATTATATGAAAACATGTTATCTTAAACAGAAATAAATCAACTAAATATTTAGAAAATGTACTATAAATATGCATAATATTTCACTTAAAGTTTGTATATACATATTTTCTTTTTTTGTCCTGTTGCACTAAAAGGGCCATTTTTTTCATAATCAGGCCAACAATGGGGCAGCTGGTGGTAAGGAAGAGAACTCAACTTCTCTAGGGAAAACTGTCCACAAAAATTCCTGAGTTGCTTATCCCAGACTTGATCCTGAGTCCCCAGAGCAGTAGGCTGCTGCCTTAACCACTTTAGCTATCTGGCCATCAAGATTATGATTGAGACTTGAGACTACCTTGAGGAATTTCTGAACTTTTGATTTATTTTGCATTTTTTTATTTCTGTCTGCTTTTTATTTTAAATCTTTATAAAATAAATAAATAAATAAATATAACACACAAACACTCATATTTTGCAAACAGCATTGCCAGATTTGTGAAAGATTTTTCTATTACTACTACTGAACAAAAGTAAGAAATATTTTGTAATTGCTGCAGAAAAATTATCTTGATCCTTACATAATCAAACTCACAAAAATATTATTGAACTTTTAATAATTGGCAAATATAATAGACATATTGGAGTATTTACATACCAAACATCATAGAGATATTTGGATAAATTACAAAGTTACAGTATTTTAAAAAAATAAGAGTTGAACAAAAGTATGGAATATTTTGATGATTATTATAATAAAAACTATTATATTAAAAAATGTTGGATTTTAACATTCTAAAATGATATTCTTGTAAATAAATTTTATGATATTATAGTGAAGTACTAAATTTAATGAACATGATAATGAAGTGAATGACTTTGGCAACTTAGCATAAGTTTATCTTTGAGGAACAAATCTTATTTCTTATATGCCTTTTTCATTATGCTAAGAGATACAGTACAGTACTCTACTTTGATTAAACAATAATGAAAATTAAGTTTTCAACAAAGGCAAACAGATAGCCTATAAATAAAGTAACAAGTGCCAGCGATCAAAATTTAAAGTTCATTACTTTAATTATATAGTATTGAGTGGAAGATTAAAACAAATTTAACATATTAAGTGAAAATATTTTATATGATTGAATGATTTCATTTAAATTGATTCTGACTGTTGTGCTAATGTTTTCATTGAAACAACATGGTTTAAAACTGTTATCTTTTTTGTCAGTTGGCTGCTATTTACTGTCTAAATAAATTCAAACCTATGTGAGAAACCAGGATAGAGCACCAATCTCTAAACCTCTTTTAATGGCAACAATCTGGTGAAGATTGCTCACTTTGTCACTGATGGCTATTTAAAATAGGAAGGCTATAGTGGGAGGGTTTAGTGAGGTCATTGATAAAACATCCGTGTTATCATAGAAAGATCAACCATTGATAAAAATTTAACAAATTTTAATAAAAACAAAAAGATTACAAATACAAATCTAGCCAAGAGGAATACAATTCCTCAATCTAGTATAAATCATAAGAAAGCATTATTCCTATCATTTAACTATTTCTGACCGAGAGAGAGAGAGCGTATATAGACCAATCAATTATCATACCTCAGTGTTCATGGAAAATTCTGATGACTTGCAAAGAGGACAGGGAAGATGTTGATAGGCTTAGGCACAACTTTACAAAATTAATGGTTACCCTCGAGAACTTTAGTACGATCACCCCGAAGATCTGATATGCTCATGTTATATTGGTATTTGTTTGGCAGTGATGACACGTCAAAGGTGTCATTGCTGGACGATAAAAGTTAAACAAAATCGCCTAGCACGGGTCGGCAGGAGCGGCTCTTCAGACATAAACTCCAATTTCACCTCATCTCAAGCAGCCTTATAACTTATGAGTTTATGAGATAGAGCAGCCGAACAAACTTCAACTCGTACGGCATACTCTCTACCACTCTTTAGCCCATCCACACATGACCACACTCACTTGATCAATATGAGTCGCATGCGGGTGGTAGCATTTGAAGCATATCTATATATATAACCCATTGAACATGTGTCCGTCTGTCCAACGTCCATCTGTGTAACATTATGCCAGAAACAGCCACTAGAGGTGCCTTTGTTGTGTGTCGTATTTCCCACATTTAAATTAACAATATAAATTATTATTTACATTAACAGTATAAATTATTATTATTATTCATTTGGCCAATAGCCAATAACAATATAAATAATTCAGTATATTTGTAATAGGAATTTATTATTGTCATGGAATGCCTGTAATGCGCACTAGGGGGTGTCTCTCTGGTATATATATGTGGCTCTGGAACTTTTCTTATCCTGTTTCCATGACAATTTGGCTCTTCTCACTTGACAAACTGCCAACCCCTGGCCTAGCATATCATAATTTCCCACAATTCAATTTTTGAAGTGTGGGAAAGTTTATAGTTAACTGAGACAGAAGGAGAATCCAAAAACAATCAGTAGAAACAAGAAATTTATCTGGCGACCCCATTTACCCTATTATTGTTATAACATATTAGTGATTTTTTTTCACAGATCTACGTGAGAGGAAGGACTTTGTCCCTTCGATGATCCTAAAGACACGACTATTTAGTTACTTGCTGATAATTAACCTCTTAACACCCACCTGTTTTTAATTATAATGTAATTAAGCATAAAAAATACTTAAAACTGAAAAAAAAAACAAAAGAAATGCGTTAATTTTGAAGAAAAAGCTTCAAATTTTATTTTCCTTTGTCTCCCCTTTCTGTGAAATTTAACACCGATGAGTCATTGTTTACACAGCTGGAGTCAGATTTCCCGGGACATTCTCATATATGTCTCGGGAGGACAAGGGTTTAAAGTAGGGTGAATATGACCGACACGTATATTTTTAAATATTTTTTAAAAATTAAGATTTTAATTGCGATTTCCGACCCCCCAATTAATTAAATTTATATAAAATAAAATATATTAATTAAAAAAATTTAAAAACTATTGGAGGTCATTTTTGACATCAGAAAGCAGCTTTAAATAACTTTACCGGAGTCAAATCCATGCACTACAACTTAGGAACCATGAAATAAATTTGATAAAAAACTCCCATTAAAAAACAATTAAGCCTTAATCGAGCCTTATCAAAGGCTCATTAAAATCGCGATAAAATTTTTTTGCGCGGGCAAAAAATTTTGAAAAAATTTGGGGACTTAAAAAACATTCCAAAAATTCAAAAAAAAAAATTTGTCAAAAGTGGCCTTAACTACCGAATTTTTCGTAACGCTATGTAACATGCCCGAGTTATCTCGGGACCGGACGTTTTAATTAATTAATTAATTAAGTATAAAACCGTGGTTTGGCTTTGTTAAAAATTTAGAAAAACAATCCCTGGATCCTCACACCTATTGTTAATAATGTGGAGATATAAGCAAATTTCCAATTACAATAATGTAACGTTAGTTAATTTAAATGTTTGGAACATGTTCAGTTTGATAATATTAGAAAACTGATAACAATATCTGCAAAAACAATAAGAGGCACTTAGTGTATTTATGTATTAATATGATTAATCAATTTTTTTTTTTCTCTGTGATTTGCATATTAACTTGTTAAATGATTACAGAGTAAAATAACAGACCAGTATTTACTTAATGATAAATGAAACATTGGAATGCCATGATTTATTTTAGGAAGATTTTAAAAAAATATTCTAGTAATAAAAATTAGAATACAGCTCTCCCTTGATAGTCCAACGTTTTTTAATCCGACATGCTCAGTAGTTCGACGCACTTCTCGTCAAGGTACCCGTCCCTGTTACGTGTCTGCTTGCACAGAAGCATGTCGCGACGTGAATCTCCCCATCCAATTCTTACACGATGACACACATTTCGTGTGTTTTCTGTGAGCAGTTCTGTTCGAACAGTTGGAGTAGGGAATATAAGCTACTGCTAGCAAAACAATGCAAAATATGTAATTATTTTCGGTAATCTGGACACTTTTGGTAATCCAACACCCCTTTGGTCCCATACCTGTTGGACTATTAAGGGAGAGCTGTAATTACATATCAGGAACTCCATTCTAGAATCCAGAAACTTTAACAATAAATTAAAAATTAAAGCTCTCTACAGCCTAAATGCCTTGGGTGATCTTTTTAATAGGCTTTACCAGCTATATGTGGACAAATTAGAAGAAACTGTACAGCTGGAGGAGCAATTAAACAATACTAAATCGACCAGTGTTAACGATGATAACAAAAGGGCAAAAGTCAAGTCATATTATTACTAAAATAATGATGATTTTAATCCTAATTTAAATAATTCTGTGGTGGTCAGATTCATTAGAAAAGAGCTCTATAGGTGCAACTTAATTTACATAATTTCATGGGGCCAATTTCATTAGAAAATGGCAAAATATTTTAAGGATCAAAAGATCATAGGTCAGTATTCTAAAATTTACACACAATAAATGTTTTAATTAAACTAATTTATATATTATTAATATGTGGATAATACTGTATAGGTGTATCTTCAATTGGTGATCAAAACCTCATATTTGCATTTCCTAAAATTTTACAGGAGAGCTAAAAAACGTTTTTACAAGGGAATAAAATTTTGAGTACAAGGTTGAGCATTTTTGACAAGTCAGAGAGAATGCTTAAAAGGTATACACCACTTACAAGGTTTTGGCAATATATAAAAATTAACTTAAAACTGCATTTTTGCTTTAATGTGTTGTAGACTCAGATTGGAGATAAGTTTTTGATCACCAACCAACAATATATAGTATTTTTCATATATACATTTTTCCAAACAAACCACATTTCTACACTCAATTTCTGAAATTTTACAAAATTTTCAGATATTATATAATTATTAGATGCTTATATGATCCCACTTATATCAGATGAAATATCTTTAATTTCATGATAGAAATAACTTTTTTAATTTTCAAAACACTAGAAAATTCTGAATAATATTTATGCACATAGATTTATAGTATATAAAAATTATGTTTTCTATGTACATTGCATTATTTATATATATATATATATATATATATTATTATTATTATTATTATTACTGTTTTTTTATAGCTGCCTGTCTTGCTTNCTAGGGGGTGTCTCTCTGGTATATATATGTGGCTCTGGAACTTTTCTTATCCTGTTTCCATGACAATTTGGCTCTTCTCACTTGACAAACTGCCAACCCCTGGCCTAGCATATCATAATTTCCCACAATTCAATTTTTGAAGTGTGGGAAAGTTTATAGTTAACTGAGACAGAAGGAGAATCCAAAAACAATCAGTAGAAACAAGAAATTTATCTGGCGACCCCATTTACCCTATTATTGTTATAACATATTAGTGATTTTTTTTCACAGATCTACGTGAGAGGAAGGACTTTGTCCCTTCGATGATCCTAAAGACACGACTATTTAGTTACTTGCTGATAATTAACCTCTTAACACCCACCTGTTTTTAATTATAATGTAATTAAGCATAAAAAATACTTAAAACTGAAAAAAAAAACAAAAGAAATGCGTTAATTTTGAAGAAAAAGCTTCAAATTTTATTTTCCTTTGTCTCCCCTTTCTGTGAAATTTAACACCGATGAGTCATTGTTTACACAGCTGGAGTCAGATTTCCCGGGACATTCTCATATATGTCTCGGGAGGACAAGGGTTTAAAGTAGGGTGAATATGACCGACACGTATATTTTTAAATATTTTTTAAAAATTAAGATTTTAATTGCGATTTCCGACCCCCCAATTAATTAAATTTATATAAAATAAAATATATTAATTAAAAAAATTTAAAAACTATTGGAGGTCATTTTTGACATCAGAAAGTAGCTTTAAATAACTTTACCGAAGTCAAATCCGTGCACTACAACTTTAGAACGATTAATTAAATTTGATAAAAA